ACATGACACCGTGGAGAATCTGAACCCCTCTTTCTTTGCTTGTACCTTGAGAATTTCTGCATGCAAGACTTTCTTCATATTTTCCTTCTCAATGCATGGCCAGACTTCAAGATCCCATCCAAATGCCATCTCATCCAGGAGCCTGCACGGATTGCCCACTTCTGAAATTCCACAGCCGCTTGGCTGTGCCTCCCCGAGGATCTCTCTTAGCTGTGGTGTGTGTGAAAGTGGAGGCTGCAAAACTGCCTTGCGTGCGCTGAATTTATTTGGAAAGTGGTGCCAGGGAGCAAGCATGAGCGGCAGGGGGTGAGCTGGGGGATGGCCATGGAAGGAGAAGTCACTGAGCTGGCCATCAGCAGAGGCTTGAAGAAAAGGATCTTAGGATTGCTTCCCAGGGGAACGACAGCTGGCCCTACGGTGTTCACCACCTCCCGTTCCAGGTCACACATAAGCATCCCCCAAGGGTTCCCTCCGTTCTCTCTCCCTGGGACTTCAGAGAAGGCCGGGGCAGACGCTGCCCTGCCAAGCAGCACCTGCAGCAAGCTGGCCAAAGCCTGTGCAGGGCTGGTCCCTCAGTGGTGGCTGGAGTGACCGGGTGCTGAGGTGCTTGGCCGCCAGCCCCTCCCCCAGCCTACCTGCCACCCGGTGCTATGTACATATTGCTTTCTTGGGCTTGCAGGGGTGTTGTTGGAAGGCAGGAATTCTGATTTATCCCCTATATCCAGCAAGAGTCCTCCACATACCAGGGCTAACATATACTGAATGAATAAATGACAATAGTGAAGTGATCGCTTCCTTTTTCGGAGAAGAGTTTATAACATACCCAGAGGAAATCCTCCTTCAACATGGCTTACAAAAGAATGAGGGCAGGGCGGCTATATACAGAGAAATCCCTGAATGGAGAAAGAACAGTAACAGTGACAGTTACACAGGGCTCACTATGAGCCAGGGGGCTCAGGTGCTCCAGAAATGAGCCATTTGACCTTTGCCCTAGCCATAGGATTTATTATTCTTCCCATTTTACACATGGACAAATGGAGGCAGGGAGGGTTAAGTAACCTACTCAAGGTCCCATGGTCCTGAGTAGTGGAGCTGGGATTTGGCCACAGTAGTGGTCCAACCCCTGCGTCTGGGAGCCCACCACATAGCCCAGGACCAGGTAGGTCCACTGCCTGGGGCATTCTTACCACTCAGAAACCTGGGAATTGGTAGGGGCTGGGCATTTGCTAAGGTGTGTTTTTGCTAAAGGTGTGAATGTATGTTATATTCTTTTTATTAAAAAGATTTATTTATTTATTTGAAAGGCAGAAAGGCAGAATGAGAGAGAGAGAGAGAGAGAGAGAGAGAGAGAGAGAGAGAGAGAGAGAAAGGATCTCCTATCCCTGGTTCACGCCCCAGATGGCTGCAACAGCTAGGGCAAGGCCAGGCTGAAGCCAGGAGCTAGGAGCTTCATCTGGGTCTCCCATGTGGGTGCAGGGGACCAAGCACTTCTGCATTAGCAGGGAGTTGGATCGGAAGTGGAGCAACCGGGACTCGAACCAGAGCCCATCTGGGATGATGGCACTGCAGACGGTGGCTTAACCATCTATGCCACAGTGCAGTTCCCTGTGTGAAATGTGGAGTTTTAGCTTCCAAGAGTTTCTCTCTCTTCTTGCAAACACAAAAGGAAAAGACCACATAGATTTGCATAATAAACAACTAAGTCACAGAAGAAGAAATACAATTAAGCAACAAGGAGATGGAGGAGTCTGCCTCACTCACAGACTTCCATACATGAACTTACTCAAGGCGTGCCCTTCCCCACCGCCTGCTTCCCGAGTGTGCGATGGCAGCTGGGTCGGCCGGGCCCCTCGCTGCAGCTGCTGATGGATCTCCTGGGGAGCGGGGTGGTTGGCGATCTGGATCCCAAGCCTTAAAAGTTCCCACATGCTTTGATCCAGCAGTTCCTTCTGGAACAGAGCCTAAAGAAATAATCAAGGATGTATGCAGGGATTTAATTGTAAGAGTAATTACTGAGACATTGTTGATACTGAAAAAAGTGAAAGCAACTTGAACCTCCCACCATTGGGCTGGTTATCTATCACAGTGGATTCCTAGGCAGACAAAAAAACGTGTCATGGAGGGGCCCTCGTGGTGACACAGCTGGTTAAGCCACCACCTGTGATGCTGGCATCCCATATGAGAGCAGGATTGGCCGCTCAATTTCCAATTCATCTTCCTGTTAATATGCCTAGGAAAGCAGCAGAAGATGGCCCGAGTACCTGGGCCCCTGCACTCATGTGGGAGACCCAACTGAAGCTCCTGGCTTTGGCCTGGCCAAGCTCCAGTGGTTGTGGCCATTTGGGGAGTGAATCAGCAGATGGAAGATCTCTCTCTCTCTCTCTCTCTCTCTCTCTCTCTCTCTTCCCCTCTCTCTGTAATTCTGCCTTTCAAATACATAAATCTTTTTAAACTTGTAATTGTTGTGGAATAATTTTTAATGACATAGATGTACAGGGTGAAGTGTTACATGGGAAACAGTAGGTTACAAAAGAGATGAATTCATGGACTTGATCAGATATGTGCATAAGCAATTCAAGCATGATTTGGAGCCCAGCACAGTAGGGAAAAATGCACACACTGCAATCAGATTGTCTGGATGCAAATCCCAGCTCTGCTAAAACCTAGCTCTGTGACCTCAGATAAGTGACTGTCTGCGTCTTAGCTTTCTCATCTGTAAAATGGGCATTCAAAATAGCGTGTATCTACATCAGTCAGCATATATGAAGTGCTTCAGAGTGTCCCCGATACATTCAAAAATGTCGTGGGAAAATGGAATTAAAACATAAGTTTTTTTTCAAGATGTATTCATTTATTTGGAAGGCGGAGTGAGAGGGGAGGAGGGGAATTGGCGATGTCTTCCATCCACTGGTTCACTCCCCAAACGCTGGCAGCAGCCAGGGCTAGGCCGAGTTGGAGCTGGGGGCCAGGAGCGCCCTGCGGGTCTCCCAGGTGGATGCCATGGCTCCAGCACTTGGGCCACCTTCCGCTGTTTTCCTGGGAGTATTACCAAGGAGATGGATTGGAAGCAGAGCCTCTGAAATTTGAACTGGTGCTCTGATGTGGGTATCCTGAGTAGCAAACATTGGCTTAACTTGCTACACTAGCCCCAGATGAGTTTATCTTGATAAAAATAGTTTTTGAAATTCATGCATAGTTTTGTTTTTGTAATGTACATTTTCTATGAACTTCTGGAAGTACCCTTGTAGTAAGCAGGAGGTGAGAGTTGAGCAGAAATTGTCCGTGCTGTCAGAAATATGAGGAAGAGGCTGTGGGAGGAGGAGCTGACCCTCTTGCGGGAGGGGTGGCCTGCCTCAGGGAGACAGCGCCCACTGGGGTCGTGGATGACAAGCGGGACGTGCACAGGTGGAGGGGGTAGGTTGTAGGAGCTCCTTGTCCAGTGGTCCCTTGGAGGTCAACTTCAAGCCTTCCTCCCTTGGGAGAGCGCTGGGGTGCCTGCGGCTGCTGGGACATGTCTGGCCTTGCCTGGGGGACATGGCTCTTGGTCTCTTGGGGAGCTCTCTGCTGTGGCCCTGGCCAGGCCTGTGTGCTGCATTCCCAATTTTCAGATGGAAGGTTACGTCTTGTTTTAAGAAATACACACTTTTGAAGAGGAGGGTTTTATTAAATGAATGAAATAGTTGAGTTTTTACAGAAGGTTCTGCTGAGCTAACTTCTGGGAACACATTGATCTTACAGAATTCTTGGGTTTTAGAGCCTTGTGTGGTCACTCAGTTCATGTAGTGATTGACGGAGGAGTGAGACCAAGAGACTGGAGCGTCTTACCCAGTGCGGAACCCTGGCCCACATCCAAGGCTCTAGACTCCTAGTCGGGCACACAAGGGCAAGGCTGCACCCCCGCTGCCGGGCTCAGGGGACGTGAAAGGAGGGAGACTTTTGCTCAACATAAGGATGACTGATTGAGCAGGCTCTCCCAACCAGAAGTGATGCTGCCTGGTAGACAGTGAGCTCCCCGTCACCAGGAGCGTGTAAGCCAACGCTGGGCAACTCTGGAAATGGTGCAGCTAGATTAGTGATGCCCGAGTTTTCTTCCAAGTCTGAGATTCTGTGGTTTCATAATCTTACATCTTCTTTTAAATCATCATTTTAATAAACTATTCCAGGGCTAGCGCTATAGCCTAGCTGGGTAAAGCTGCACCTGTAGTGCCAGCATCCCATATAGGCACCAGTTCAAGTCCTGGCTGCTTCACTTCCAATCCAGCTCTCTGCTATGGCCTGGGGAAAAAGTAGAAGATGGCCCAAGTGCTTGGGCCCCTGCACCCATGTGGGAGATCCAGAAGAAGCTCCTGGCTCCTGGCTTCAGATTGGTCCAGCTCTGGCTGTTGTGGTCATCTGGGGGTGAACCAGAGGATGGAAGACCTCTCTGTCTCATCCTCTCTGTAACTTTGCCCTTCAAATAAATAAATAAATCCTAAAAAAAATTGAACTATTTTATACATGCAGAAATGAAGGTAAAAATACTGTAATAGAAACTATTTTTGCAGTATTTTGTTTCCTTATAGCTTTCTCCTTTTATATATTTTTTCAGATTTGCTTATTTATTTGAAAGTCAGAGTAACATAGAGAGGGAGAGACAAAGGGAGAAGTCTTCCATCTGCTAGTTCACTCTCTAGATGGCTGCGACAGCCAGGCCTGGGTCAGGTCAAAGCCAGAAGCCAGGATCTCTGTCCAGGGCTCCCACATAGTGACAGGGGCCCAAGCACTTGGGCCATCTGCTGCTGCTTTCCCAGGTGCATTAGCAGGAGCTGGGTCAGAAGTGAAGCAATCTGGACTGGAACCAGCACTCCGACATCGCATGCTGATGTTGCGGGTGGAGGCTTAACCCGCTGTACCATGACTCTGGCCACAACCAATAGTTTAGTGGTTTTTTTTTTTTTTTTTTTTTTTTTTTTGACAGAAAGCCATGACTTCAATAGCATAGCAACACTTGAGGAGGAGGAGCCACAGATGTAGCACACATGGGTCTTCCATTTGCACGATTGGGCTGAGGTTGGCAGGGGAGGGGGCACTCACTGGACGATTTAGACAGACTTTTTCACATTGAGAACTTAATAGAGGCTTCAGATGTCAAACGTTGGTGACAATGAGTTACAATGTGATTGCTTTCGTATTCAGCCTCCTCTTCGTAAGGTCAAGAGGCTGCTTCCTGTCTGGCCGAGGCGGGGCGCCGGCTCCCCTAGGACGGGTACTCATACTCCTCTGCACTGCGCCGGCCAAAATCCATCCCGCCCATGTAGTCCCGGTCGCTTATCCTGTGGCTGGGGTCCCGGCTCTTCAGGTTCTTGATGATGGACATGCGGCCAGCAGGAGCTCTCCGGGCCTGATGCATGTACCTGGCCAGCAGCGCGCCCAGGTGCCCTCGGGACTCGACATCCGTCCTCTGCGCGGCCCTCAGCTGCCTCCGGGACGCCTCCTCTGCCCGCTGCACCCCAGAGCCCGCGGGATCTGAGGGAGCCACGGGCTGCGTCAGGGCGCCGACCGCCAATACCGATATCAGCACGCACACGCTCAGGCCGCGGTTCATGGCTTGGGATGAACCAACCAATAGTTTAGTTTTTTTTTTTTTTTTTTAAATCACTCTGTGCTAGTTTTTCCACATCTAATGCATATACGTATAACCACAATGTGCAGTATTGCTTTTTGAGTTCTAAAAACTAATATGCAATAGACCGTACTGTGTTATTCTGCAGTTGATGGCTTACATTTACTGTTTCTCATCAGTGCGTGAAAATTTAGTTCATTAACTTCAACAGCTGTATGGTAGCTCATTGTATGAATGAACTGACCTCACTCATTTGTGTGTTTATTCCCCATCCATGGACTTTTCAGTTGTTTCCTACCTTCTCTCTAATACAGAATCTAGGTGGGGAACCCCACGTCACACCTTTGCTCATCTTTCTCCGCACCAGGTAGAACCCACTCACTCTCCAAAGGGTTGTGCGCAGCCTCAGAGTGACTGACAGTTCCTGTCCCCCCAAAGTAGGTGGTGTCATCCAATAGGCTCACTACTGCGTAGCTCTGTTGCTTCAGTCCCTCCCACCTTCTCCCTGTCTCTTCTCCCCAGCCCCATGCTCTCAGATCCTATTATGATGCTTAAGACATCTTGGTCTGTTGTTGACACAGAAAGAAACTCTTTCAACATTTCTCCATTATGGATGGTATTTGGCCCATAATGTCAAGACTGGGCTGGGCCCAAACCGGGATCCCGGAACTCCATCTGGGCCTCCTCCGTGGGTAGCAGGGGCCCAAGCATCCCCTGCTACTTCCCAGGTGCATTAGTAGAAAGCTCGACTCAAAACTGGAGCCAGGACTTGAACCCAGGCACCCTGACGTGAACTGTGGGCACCTCACGTGGTGGTGTCTTAGCTGCTGCACCAGGGAGCTGCCTTCTACTGGTTTTGGAAAATACCTCTCACTAGCTTAAGATTCTCTTCTTAGTTTAAGAGGTTTTCTTGAAAATAGAGAATTAGTGTTGCTGAATTTCATCAAATGTTTTTTCTCAACCTCTTGAGATGTGCCTGTGATTTTTCTACTTTAATTTGTTAATCTGGTGGATTAAAATGATAGATTTTCTTTCCTTTTGGCTTCAGTTCTTTTAAAAATCAGTAAAATATTTCAGATGTAATTGAAACTCTGTGTGCTCCGAATCGATCGCTTTCTTTCTTCCTCCCTCTCCTGAGGCAAATACCATCCTAAATTCAGTGTTTATCATTCTCATGCATACTTTCATATGATTGCTACATATGTATGCATCATAAACAACAGGTAGTGTTGTTATGCAGTTTTCAAAGTTTATATAAATGGCAGTTACTATGCATATCCCATAGTTTGCTTTTCCAGTTTGATACTTGTAGCTCTGGTTCATTCCAGTTGCTATGTGACGTGGTGTTGTGTTATTTTCTCCCATTTTTCTCGTCTTGCTTTTGTCTGAGAACACTTAGGCTGCTTCTGATTTTTAGCCACTAGCAGCAATGGCACAGATGAATATTCTTGTGGGAGGCTGTTTCTCTCCAATGCATTATGGGAACGTAGATATGCTTTTCTTCCACGGTGTTGAAGCACGCTCACAGGAGTATAATTAGTGACTCGATTTTCCGAATTCTCACCAATACTTAGCGTCATCAGGCTTTTAATGTCTGTTGATCTGATGGCTATAAAATGATAGTTCATTGTTGGTTTAATTTAGCTTCCTCCATGTATTAGTGAGAATCACACATACAAACACATGGGTGCACGCACACACACATGTTAACCACATTGCTATTTATATCCTTTGTCCCCCTTTTTTTAATTGACTTGAAGACTTTTAATATATGTATTCTGAATATTAATCATTTGCTAGTCATTTGCGTTACAAAGATACACTCCTTGTCTATGACTTGTCTTTCTCTTCCCAACCTTAAAAAATTGTGAAGTGAAACATACGTTCAGAAGAGTGCTTAAGACGTAAATGATGTATAATTACAAAACTAACACCCGGCCGCGCCACGGCTCACTTGGCTAGTCCTCCACCTGTGACGCCGGCACCCGGGGTTCTAGTCCTGGCTGGGGTGCCGGATTCTGTCCCGGTGGCTCCTCTTCCAGTCCAGCTCTCTGCTGTGGCCTGGGAGTGTAGTGGAGGATGTCCCAAGTGCTTGGGCCCTGCACCCGCATGGGAGACCAGGAGAAGCACCTGGCTCCTGGCTTTGGATCAGCGCAGCATACCGGCCACAGCGGCCATTTGTGGGGTGAACCAACGGAAGCAAGACCTTTCTCTCTGTCTCTCTCTCTCTCTCACTGTCTAACTCTGCCTGCCAAAAAACAAACAACAACAAAAAAACTAACACCCGTGGAAATTACCACTCAGTTTAAGAAGTAGGAAGTTGCTACCTCCACACACCTGTCCTGTGTCCCTTCCTAATCGTATTTACTTCCCTCGTCCCTGGTGGAACCACCATGTTGGTTGTTAAGAATCACATTCCTGTTCTTCCGCACACTTTAGCTTGGACGGGCAATTAGTTCAGCAGTTAAGACACTGGAGGGGCCGGCGCTGTGGCATAGTCGGTAAAGCCACCGCCTGTAGAGCTGACATCCCATATGGACACCAGTTCGAGTTCCAGCTGCTCCACTTCTGATCCAGCTTTCTGCTATGGCCTGGGAAAGCAGCAGAAGATGGCCCAAGTTCTTGGGCTCCTGCACCTGCGTGGGAGACCTGGAAGAAGCTCCTGGCTTTGGATCAGCCCAGCTCTGGCCATTGCGGCCATTTGGGGAGTGAACCAGCGGATGGAAGATCTCTCTCTGCCTCTGCCTCTGTAATTGTCTTTCAAATAAATAAATAAATCTAAAACAAACAAACAAACAAAAAAGACACGGGGACACCCACGTGCCATCTTGTAGTGTGGGTTCCGCCTAGGTAGTTCAGCTGCAGGCAGCCCAAACACTATTGGCTAGTTTTGCCTGTTGTGAGCTTTATAAGCGGACGTGATCACTTTCCAGTTTGCTTTGCTTCTTTATGCAACGTATGTTTGCAAGATTAGTCCTTGGGATACGGGACTCGGGTTCCTGATTTTCACTGCCGAAGGTGTTTGCACAAACGTTCCACGATGTGTTTGCCCAGCCCACTGCTGCTCTGGCCTCTCCCCGCCAGCTGTGAGCATTCCAAGCAGTGTCGCTGGGCTCACTCTCGTGCGTGTCCTTTGAGAGGAGTTTCTCAACCCTGAAGTATGCATGTCTTTAGCTTGGAAGACAGCGAATGCCAGGGTAGCCCACAAAGCGGCTGTTGTGGCTTGCCTCTCGGTTTGTTGGCGGTAGCTGTTGTTGAACAAAGTTCTAAATTGAACGTCAACATATCAATATTTCCCTTCTAGCTTCTTGTTGAAGAAATGCTTCTCTTATCTGAAGACATTGTCCAGTTTTTTTCCCCCTAAATGTCTTAAATTTTTTCCTTTTCTACTCAGATTTTCAACCGATGTGGAATTAATTTTTTAATATGTAATGAAAAAAGGTAAGCCTCTAATTTTGTTGTTTTTGCATCGCATGGCCAAGTCTCAGTGCCACCTACAGATGATGCTATTCTTTCCCCCCGTCGATTGTGACATCACCTTTGTCAATGCCAGGTTTCATTTAAGGGTGGACATTTCTGTTCAGGGGGATTTTCTTTCATTTATGATTTTATTTCTTTGACGGCTTGATTTATTCAGGTTTCTTATTTCTTCATGAGCCAATTGGGGTCATTTTTGTTTTCTGAAAATATAAAATTTCTTTAAGTTTTCAAGTTTAGAAGCATAAACACATCACTTTCTATTATGGTTGTTAGAGTATCTATTTTAGTTGTATTCCCTTTTTTATTCCTAATAATTCAGTATTTATGCTGGTGTTTTGGTCCTCTTCCTCATTCCTGTTGGAAGTCTATTTTATTACTTTTTTAGTAGAGAAATTGCTTTTGTCTTGTTTCTACAGTTTTATCGTTTTTTATTTAATTGATTTCTACTCTTAATTTTAACATTTCCTGTCTTCCATCTTGTTTCTGTTTTTTTTTTTTTTTGTTAGCTCTTGAGTGAAACACAACTCAATTATTTTCTAACTTTATTTTAATTAGGCATTTGAGTAACAAACTCTCTTACAAGTCCCCATGTAGCTACAGTGTTTTAATATGCCCTGTTTTACAATGAGTTATTTAGGAGTGGACTTTAAAATTTCCAACATGCTTGTTTGTTTTGAATTAACCAGGATCATGGCTTTCTAATTTAGTTTTATTGCTGTAAGAGAAAATGACCTCTATACTATTGATTGGTGTTTGTGGAGGGTTTCTCTGTGTTCTAGTATTATGTTTGGTCAGTTTTTGTAGATGATTCATCCCAACCAGAAAAGAATGCATTTCTTCTACTTATTGGTTACAAACTCTACAAACATTTATTAGAAAATGTGTGTTTAGTTGTTCAAACTTTCTATGCCTTAATGATATTTTTGTCTACTTGATATGTAGCTTCTAACAGGAGATTGTTAAGATATCTCACTATGTTTCAATGTTAGAAATTCTTTTCTTTCAATTTTGTTTCTGTGTCATATATTTTGAGGTAATTTTGTTGGGTGCCTATGAATTTGTTATTATATTTCCTTAGTGCATTGTGTTCTTTATGTAAGTGTGCATAATACATATTATATGAAAGTCACATTACATAAATCATGATGTATACAGACATTAAATACTATGCAGTATATTCCACCTGAAATTTTAGTTAGTCTAATGTTAATACTAGGATACCAGTTTTTTGTTTTTGCTGATTGTAATTACCCAGTGTATCTTTTCTGTCTTTAATTTCAACATTTCTTTTAAAAATTTATTTGATTTTAAAGACAGAGAGAGAGAGAGAAAGAGAGAGAGAAATCGATCTTCCATCTGCTAGTTTACCCCCAGTGGTCACAATGGCCAGAGTTGGACCACGAAGAAGCCAGGAGGTGGAACTCCATCTGGGTCTCTGACGTAGGTGGCAGGGCCCTGAGCACTTGGGCCACCTTCCACTGCTTTCCTAGGTGCATTAGCAGGGAGCTG